TTAAAATTTTCCTGTTCATCTTTATTATTTATATTTATTATTACTACATTTCAGTATTTATTTTTTCTTTAATTGTTCTTATTGTTCTTTATTTAACATATGTTATACTTTTTTTTTTCAGAAAGTTGAAGAGGAGGATCAAGTAGTAGACTATGTGCCTGTTAGCATGATAAGATAATCAAACTTTAATCATTTTTCAATGTGATATTTTTGAATAGGAAACTCCTGTGACTAACTTAGAGTTTGAGTCTGTTGTATTAATATTAAGATTTATATTCATGGGAATATGCATGTCTATATATATTCATGACCTTATACACACTCATGCCTTGATACGCAGTCCTAGTTTCAGTACTTATTTCCATAATTAGCGGTGCTAGTAGAAGAGCTATTCTTGTCTATATCACATCCTGTTTTTATAAAGATCTTTTTCTTTGTCTGACAATGCCTTGGAATCATTTTAAAAATAAATGCAATGTTCGATTCACTTTTGTAATATTTATGTTATCATGCAAATATGCAGTGGTTAATAACTGATAGAGTTTCCATCAGTTTTGGGGAGTAACGCTAGTAAGACTTCTTTTTTTCAGTAGCATAACAGCGCTGATGTCCAAAACACGAAACAAATACACCAAAATTCAGTAGAAACACTATTCTCAACATCTTAAGTCATTTTTACTCACCTTCAGTTCTTACTGTGCTTTGCCCAAAGTCCCTTTAAGACAAGTCATTTCACTCGGCGGCCATCTTTGAAATGCCTCTAGGGCAGGGGTGGCGAACGTCGGTCCTGGAGAGCCGCAGTCCTGCAGAGTTCAGCTCCAACCCTAATTAAAACTCACCTGCCGGGAGCTTCCTAATAACCGTTCAGACCTTGATTAGCTTGTTCAGGTGTGTTTGATTAGGGTTGAAGCAAAACTCTGCAGGGCTGCGGCTCTCCAGGACCGACGTTCGCCACCCCTGCTCTAGGGCATGCAAGTGCAGCTTCTATCTCTTTGAATGGGGAAACATCATATACTCAAAAACTGTTCAACAAGCTTACGATTAAATTTCATATTTGAAATCACCAATGAAATCTGACAACAACTGCCTCATAAATGTTGTCCCTTATTGCTCCAGTTGCGTTAAAAAAGCTTATTTTTCAGGCTAGACCTGCCAGTCCACATGCGCAGTCCAAATCGCACGTCTCAGAACGTTGACTGTTTCTATAGCAACCGGGACTTCTAACAGCAACTGCAGTGACGCGCTGACTTTACCGATTTGCGATTGGCTCTTTTACTCAGAGGGTGGGGCTTCCTTCGATAGAGCAATCATGCTGAGCATTGCATTTTTCCCCATTCAAAACTATACGAGTGACACATCTTGGTTATTCTATAGTCTTTGCTTTGCCTTTGCTGGCATGTAGTGCGACTCCTGAGCACTAAATGTCACATGACCGATCACACTATATTAAAACTCCTTCCAGACAGCAGGAAAAACACAAGTCAGACCAAGAGCATCCAAAAATTCAGTCACTGAAAAAGCATCTACAATGAATGAGTGGTTATCAATGTACAAAGAAGTATTTTTTGCCACTCAATGGTGTAGTTAAATCTAACAGCAGGAGTAATTTTAATAGAAAGTGTGTATAACCGCAGCTTAGAACACCATCTAGTGTTAAAAATAAATTATCACATCTCGAACAATAATATTAAGGTGTGCTAAGTGCTTGTTTCCCAGTCAAAAGAGCCCACCTTAAAGGGATAGTTCACCCCAAAATGAAAATGAACAAATCAACAACAAATTTAACGAAAACTGCCCCAAAATGGTCACGAGGCTATATTTCTGCAACGCTTTAGCGAATTCAGACCAAATTTGTTCTGTGTTATACAAATCATGACCTGAGTATATATATATATATATATATGAGCAGTTTCAGCACAGTGCCACCTAGTGGTCAAGGAATATAAAAATATACATTTTTGCTTATAACTTCTGAGCAGTTTGGCAACAAAAAAATCATAAGATTGTTCTCCGTAGGTCAATTTTTGTATGTCGGTCACTTTGTGCATCAGCCATTTTGAAAATCATCAACAAATGTCTTTGAGTAACAGCTCCTTAGCTCTAACATATAATTACATGGAGTGGGATTTATGACCAATCATTTTCACGATAGGCAGAGCTTCAATAGAAACTTAGCAAGATACATTCTGTCGCACATTGCGCTAGTTAGGACAAATAATAAGATTTGCACAAGAGACATGAATTTGCTTGTTGAATTATTGCATCATGTTTGGAGAGGATGCAGTGTCTCACCTGAAGATGAAGTACTTACCGTAACTTTGAACAACTGTGTTTCTTATAATGGTGCAGAGAACCTAATTGAGCGAAACAGTTTTGCATAGTTCGGGCAGTAGCTGCTTGTAACTAGTCTCAAAGAAGCCTTCAAACTGTCATCAGTCATGGCAGACCGGTGTTCTGTACGGGAATGACAACTGCACTGTACAACTGAATTAACTTCCGATAAATGCAGATGACAGCCATGTTTGTATAGAAACAAGAATTAAGAATCTTAATGTATTGCTTAATGTATTGCTTTTTTATTTTCAATTTACAATTTGACTCTCCCAGTATTATGGGAAAGAATTCAGTGTCTTTGGTTCATCCATTTAGCGGACTCACTCACACATGACCCATTTTAACTCTCTAGTGTTGTTCTGTCATTTTAGAAAAAAATGAATTTTTAAAAATCGCTACTTTATTGGAATGGTACGAAACTTGGTGACTTTTATAGCAGTCACTATGTGACCACAAAAAAAAAAAATAAAAATTGTGGACTTGTTTCGAAAAAGCTAAATGGTCGCAAAAATAAAAAAAAAGTCACACTTGTGGTGTCCGCCATTGAATACGAATGGGAAATACGCAAACATACGAAAATACAGATAATTTTTTGTGTGTACAATCTACAAATCATTCACGATGGAGAAAAAGAGTGCACAGCAATAAAGGGGTGACACTCTAAAATATCAAGAGTGCAAAACAGACACACTCCCCCCACCCCCCACAGACACACATATATGAACTAATGTGACTGTAACACAAAGCATGTTTCTGCAAATGCATGAAATGAAATAAAATCAAAAAAATTTTTTAGGCATGACCTGCCATTTTTAATTTTCTGGTTAACCACTGTGACAACCCATCCAACTGGATATAGCTGTCGGTCATTTAACATTTCTATCATAAAACGTATCGTTAAAAGTTGACTAATATTAAATGATTTGCAGCTTCATCTTACCTCGCTGTCTTTAACGCTAAGCTGATGCCTCGTGCTCTGTTCTGTGAACAGTAAACCCCGCCTACTTTGATTTGATTGGCCATCTCAGTCATTTTGACATTGACGAGCGCTGTTAGACCGCTGAGGCTTTGATCTGAAGTGCCTATATAGTATGTGCAGCAGTCGCGCGCGCATCTGTAGACTAGCACAAGTTAGTTCTCACACTTTATTAGTATTTATAGCTCCTAACAGGCTGTGTGACTATGAGAAGTTATTAACTCAAAATGTACGTCAGTATGCAGTTTCCCTATTGCTCGCGTGCCAGCGATTATCCCTCTGCGTGCTGCTGTTGGCACGCGTGCCTTAGGTTGCCGACCCCTACACTAAAACATCAAGAGTAGGCCTACAAAACAGACACACACTCTCAAACTGAGATGAACTGGTGTGGCTGTAACAATATGACATGTGGCCAAGTATGGTGACCCATACGAGGAATTAGTGCTCTGCATTTATCCCATCCAAAGTGCACACACACAGCAGTGAACACACCGACACCGTGAACACACACCCGGAGCAGTGGGCAGCCATTTATGCTGTGGCACCCAGGGAGCAGTTGGGGGTTCGGTGCCTTGCTCAAGGGCACCTCAGTCGTGGTATTGAAGGTGGGAGAGAGCGCTGTACATTGACTCCCCCCACCTACAATCCCTGCCGGTGCTAAACCATTACAAAAAGTTGTCTTTGAGATTGTCTAAATATATATCCAGATCAACAACTTAATAAAAATAAGTCTTTATGCCTAAAAACAACTAGAGAATTTATAAGCCCTTTGTTTAGAACTATATAGGAATCTAGTGGCTAAACCATGGAATTGCTGATGTTTTTCTTTTTTTTACTCCGACCAGATGGCACTAACCTGACTTCAAAAATTAGATTTTAAAGGCATTGTCTCTATTTTAACATGAAATGTTATAATTACTGCCATAATTTAAAATTAATATCAAAATCTTAGAATTGTTTTTTCAATGGGAAAAAATTTTCATAATTATTGCATAAATATTAATTAGTACCATGCAATTCTCTCAAAATACAAAATAAAAAAATAAAAAATATTATGGAACAAAAATATATGACATTTATTTTACTGAAAATAAAAAAAAGTTAAATTTCGGGTGTTTGGTCACCCAATATTTTCAATGCAGCAGGATGACAAGACACAACTACAAGTTAAACCCACATGCTCTGAATGTCCACTCTCACCTACAAGATGTTTGTCCACTCAACAGATCAAACCACATTTCTGAAGAACAGACAACAGCAGCTTTCAGTTTGACTCAGAAACTGAACCGATAGTGTGAGATGGCAGACAGTTTTAACTTCGCATTTTTTTCTTGCACTAACATTAAGAACTGAATTAATATACACACCAATTTAAAAATCGCAATACTTTCGTTCCGTTTTATCGTGAAATGTAGTTCATCCACAGCTCACACAATTTTCTTCTACTTTTAGCCATTTAACACAGTCAGGCAACTACCTTACAAAAAGTATGTTAAATGATAAAAATAAAGAATATTTTCAATCATTAAAAACAGTTAAAATACAAGAGCTGGATGAAATATAACATTATACCATATGCAAATACAGTGTCTAAACTAGGAGGTTCAAATTCTGTCAGGGGAGGAGTCACATCAGGTTGAGTGTTTTTAGCAGAGGTTTTATTAGATCAGACACTGAACCACTGAAGAGAATGTTTCACATGTTTGTTTTGTTCTGTTTGTGCTGGTGGAGTCTGATTGGTAAGTTATAAAAATATTTTTATGGTTTAATTTTTTTTCTGAGCTACTGCTGTTGTTAAGAATTAGGCTACTTCCATCTGCTACTGACTGTACCAAATAAATTATTACTATGAAATCTACTTACACTGATTTCAGGTCTTTTTTTTTTGGAATTTAACACTGGGCTGGAAAGTGCAAAAATAAAATGCTAAAAAAAAAACCAATGAAAATCTCCAGAGCAAATGTAGATGTTTGTGCTCTGCATGGCGACTCAAAAAGCCAAAATCTTCCACTGAGTTGCTTTGAAATATCTGGCCTTTTTTTTTTTTTTACATTTAAAATCTATTTCTAAAGAATTCCATGTTTTAAAATGTTTAAATACTTCTGCAGTCATCATAAATATCTACAAACGTCATGGAAAGTCATTAGTCTAAATGTGCAGGGGCCCTGAGAGCATGAGAGACAGTAATAAAACAGTGAGTTTGTTTTATACTGATCCAAGTGACTCATTTACTAAGTATTGACAATATTCAGCACAGCTAAACTATGTAACTTTACACAATGATTTTGCTCCACAGCAGATAACTTCAAAACAAATTACAGTATATATCCCTGTTCATTTTGTGTCTCTGATGCTGTTGTGAATATTCTTCAGTACACATGCAAATGATTAAATCTATGGATGATTTCAGGATTTGTAAGCCAACAGGAGAATCTGTGACAAAACCCATTCATGTTCATCAGGTGTGTTTGGTGCAGAAACAAATGAAATACAGTCAGTGTCAGTGATGGAGGGAGATTCGGTCACTTTAAAAACTAATGTTACTGAATTACATGAAGACGATGAAATAGCATGGAAATATGGAGCTCAAAAGTCTCTCATAGTTAAAATCATCAATGAGAAACAAATCTTCTCAACATTTGATGTTCTTGACGGGAGATTCAGAGACAGACTGAAGCTGGATCATCAAACTGGATCTCTGACCATCACAAACATCACAATTGAACACGCTGGAGACTATGAACAACAGATAAGGGGAGCAAAACTGTTATCAAAAACATTCAGTGTTTCTGTCTACGGTGAGTAGAGATCATTTGTCCTGCCATTCACATATTCTTGTTTCATAGTTTGAAGTGACAGATAATATAAAAACTCACTCAACACCATGAAAATTTTTTTTTTTAGATTTGTCCATATTTCTGTTTATTCTCTCATGTTTTTAGCTCATCTGCCTGTTCCTGTCATTAGAAGAAACTGTTCATCATCATCATCATCATCATCATCACAGCAGAATTGTTCATTGGTGTGTTCAGTGGTGAATGTGGGTCATGTGACTCTCTCCTGGTACAAAGGAAACAGTTTATTGTCCAGCATCAGTGTGTCTGATCTCAGCATCAGTCTCTCTCTACCTCTGGAGGTGGAATATCAGGATAAAAACAGCTACAGCTGTGTGCTCAACAATCCCATCAGCAACCAGACCACACATCTGGACATCAGTCAACTCTGTCACACATGTTCAGGTACAGCAGCGCTGACATATATGTTTATTTAATGAGCTGATTTCTCTTTTGTTGTAGATCAAACTGCACATTCACACACATTAATGATTATCATTACAGGCTCTGGATCTCTGATAGTGCCGATCTTTACTGCTGGATCTCTGTTGATTGTAGCTGCAGTCGTGATATTCTGGAGGAAACAGAAAAACTAATCAAGAAGGCAAGTGTTAGCTAAATGACATAGCTTTTTAGTTGCAAAATATTGTTTCTAAAAGTCAGTCGTAGAGCAGCGCTGACAATTTTCTGTACGCGTGTATGTTTCCATCTGTGAGTGAATGTGTATTCGTACAGTATGTGTGAGAGAGATTTCCATAGGGAATTAAACAAAATTTATTAGGAAAAACATGAATAAATCATATTTAAGATTAATGATAAAGAGATACTGTGTTGAAGATGTCTTGTGTGTTTGTGTGCGCGTGTTAAACAGTTTTAGGCAGGGTAGGTGATTTGGTTCAAAACATTTTTTTTAATGCTGGTTGAAAGTCTTCCCATCCTGCAGCAATCACTATGTTAAGTGGTCTGAATGTATTTATTTAAATTTATATTGTCTGTGGAAGGCGTATAAATCATAAAATGTTCATCCAGTCATATTCCTAGGTTTGAGAATTGCGATAGGCTGTCCTACCTGCCTGTCAATTTATGTATTTGCATACCTCCGGGCACCCTGTTTGCACTATTGCAGACCGAACTAAAGTTGAAGGTGATATTATTGTAATTTTACGTGCTTTGTACTGTAATGTTTTCTCACCGGTGAATCAGGCATGAGGTAATTTGACAGTGTTGCATCGTGACGCTGATTAGCCTCTGCTCTGCCTGCGTGCATTCACGTGTTTTGGAGGAGGCATGGCTTTGGAGAGTGATTATGCAGGGAGGATGGGATCTTATGCTTGCTAGCCTCTCTGAAGTCACCTACCCTACCTTTAAAATTGCTGTCAAAAATAATTCAGCATTAAATATTTAATTGCAAACATTAATGCTTTAACTTTGACAGCCTTAATAATAGAATGTTGCAAAGAGACAGATCTAGTTAAGATTGTGTTTTGTTGTTTTAATGCATCTATTATTGTTATCAAAACAGTTCAGACTCGTACAGAAGAGATCACTTACATTGATCCGATATTCCACAAAAGAAACGCACAGAAATCGGTAAGACAAATTATTCCTAATTCGTGTTACTCTGTCAACTACACTGCAGCATCTTTAAACCTTCTATTAACAATACAGACTACAACGTTCAGAAAGTTAAAAAAATGACCTACACTCAAGAAATAGTTTGTTCAATTAACTTAATTTATATTATGTAAAATGATTAAGTTCTGTTTTACACATTAAAGTGGACTGAAACTTGTGTTTGTTTATGTCAGTAGAAACTCACCGGTAAACCATTTGAAAGGAAAATCACATATCAGATCAGATCATTAATTCAATACATCACATGTTATGTCACAACCAAAGGAATCTGTATTTCTAAGAGAGTCACACTTCTCTTTGTTTATAAGTATCTCTTGCATGATGTTTTTTTTTTTTTTTAGCATGTTAAAGAGGAAGATCATGTGGAGTATGTACCTGTTGCCATGAGAAGATGATCGTCAGTCTTCAGTGTTTTTCTATCAGATCTGTGTCACTGCTTTTATCTCCTGCAACAACCTCAAACTCCGAGTCTTGATGAGTTTAGGGATTGGTGAGAATCACCACGTGTGATACTTAAAGACTGATTATTGAAATGATCACCTAAAAATAATTTGCCTTTGTCTTGTTTATGTACATCTGCACAGAATGCTGGTTTGATCTGTTAGGTGGAAAAACAACTTGTGCATGAGAATGTGTCTACTTCTGGATGACTGTGTTTGATGTCTGCTTTTGTGTCTGTGTGAAATAATTTTTCCATTCTTGTTCATATGAAACCATTTTTACTTCTGCTATAGACAAAACAATTTTTCATAATAGGTCCCCTTTTAAAGTTAATTCAACTAGAAAAAGCAGAAATTTAGAAAATATAGAAATTTATTTAAAATAAAACATACAACAAAATCAGAACGGAATCAAATCACAAAATCAGTGCCAATATTATAGAACATACACTGCAACATTACAAATCAACCATATGCTATCTGGAGCATTAGTATAGGCCTAACTATTGGGAAGTCCATTTTACACGGCAATATGATTTTTTAAAAGACTGACTTTTTGGGTGCCAGCTCAACATTTTCCGGGTTATATATATTTTTTTTTTTGTACACATGACGACTAAAATTCTTTGTTTGTGTTCATCTGAAGAAAGAAAGTGATAAACATCTGGGACGACATGAGCGTTAGTAAATGAGAGAATTTTCATTTTTGGGTGAACTATCTTTTTGAAGAGCAAGATGTGATGCAGAGGCCAGAAACATATTCCAGACAGAATAAAAGAATGTGTTGAATAAATGAGGAGAGTCATAGAATTAAAACACAACATTAACGTTTTGAAAAGCCACTTTTTGTGTTGTCTATTCAACATCACTGTCTAAAATGATAATTCATCTTTTAATGGTTTATTTGGAGCATTTAGAGTTTTTTTCCTCTGCAAATATGATATATAATTATTTGCAACTAATTAGATTGAGCAATTCATGTAATTATTTAGATTAAAAAATATATTCATTGACAGTCCTAATTGCTAATCAATGTGTCATATAATGACGTATTATAAATGCAACTTATCTACTACCTGGCAAGAACATCCCTAAACATTAATTACAATTTATTTAAAGGGGTCATATGATGCTATTTTAAAGATCATTATTTTGTGTATTTGGTGTAACAGAATATGTTGACCAATCAGCTTGTAACACTCCAAAGAGAAAGGAAAACTTGAAATCGCATCATATGACCCCTTTAACATACGATGTTAATTTAAACACTTTATGTTTTTGGAGATTTGTAATATTTAATTTTAAAAAAGCAATCATTCCCACAAAAATATTAATTGTATTTAAATTCTCATCACAGATTTTATTTGCATACAATCTTGTGCGTTCAGCTAATTGTCCCCTTGGAATTATAAGGTTTTATCTGCATTCCGAGACTTTTTGAGATATTGAGCTTCAAAGTTTTTAATTCCATTCGACTGTGTAGATAGAACATTTTTGTTTTTTAAATAAAAAGTCCCAAAATGTAAACAACATTAAAATAAATCTATCACATAATGTAAATAAGTTGCCACAGAATAAGAATATGTGAATAACACAATTTTGACAAAAATGGCAGATAGAATCTTATAATTCCAAGGGGACGTAATATATTACACAGCTAATGACTAATGAATTAAAACAGAAAAAAAATAACTAACTTTAGGTTTTTTTTTTGGAAAGAAGCAACTTTGCTACCTCAATATGCTTCCTCAGATTTGATGGTAAACTTTTGAAGCCAGACATTTACCTGATGAAAGAAATGTGTGTGCTTGATGCATTAAAACAATGATCATTGGTTCTCACATCAAGAGCACACGTTTGAGCGTCCATTTACCATATTTAATGTGCATAACATAAAATAAAAATGTAATGTACATTTCAAGATGAAATTAAATTGTAAGGAGTAAAAAGTACTGTTTTTTTTCCTTCAGAAATGTAATCAAGTATAATAAGTTTAAATTGTACTTGAATAAAGTACAAATACCCAAAAATAATACTTAAGTACAGTAATCAAGTACAATTACTCAACTATTTTACACCCAAATAAAGCCAAAATGGAAAAGCCATGTGTGACAAAGTTAGGACACCCTTACTGGTAACATAGGACTTAAGCTAATTAAAAATGCCTTTGATTAACTGATCATCAGCAAGTGTGAGCACCTCTGTAAAAGCAGATGTTTTGGCAGTTTGCTGGGGCCTCATTTATAAAATGTGCGTACGCACAGATTTGATCTTAGAGTGTGCGTACGCTAAAATCCACGGCAACGTTCATATTTATAAAAACAGTCTTTGACGTGGAAAAGTACTTACCGCCACGTCAGGGTCTGAGCAGGCGTACGCACTTTTCCTTGTGGCAAAGTCGGAGTAGTGCAAGTATTTGAACATCTAAGCTGCAATAATAATAAAAGCGGTGTATGTGCAAGCACCGAATTCATCATAAACAACATAGATCATGTTAATGATCATGTTTTATCGTGCTTTTATTGAATCAGTTTTGTCATTTTCTCTGGTCGTATGGTTTGGTCAAACATCTTTAAAAGCGAGAAATTCTTTAAACCAGATAGTTAAATGGTCTAGTCGATTGGTGGGTGAGTCACAGTTGGATCCAACATCGTTGTATACCAGACAGTTGCAACGAATGTCTACTTCTATTTTAAATGATGACTCCCACCCTTTGCACAGTGAGTTTCAGCTTCTTCCCTCTGGGCGGAGGTTTTTAATCCCAAGGTGTAAAACAAAGCGATATAAAAACAGCTTTGTTCCCACTGTTTTAACTGTGTTAAATAAGCTGTAGGATGGGGGAGTCTTGGGGAATTTATATCATGTATCTTGTATCATATTTTTGTTATCTGTTGTGTTATATTTTTAAATGCGTTTTTTAAATTTGTGTTATGGATGGTTGTCACGGTCATTTTACTGCAAGACAAATTTACCTGCAGGTATGAATAAAGTAACCTAACCTAACCTAACCTAGATGCAGTGTAAGAGATTAATTGTGCAGTATAGTCAGATTTTTT